TGCCTGATGCCTGAGCTCCTTCAGTCATATCCCAGCTTTGGGCCGGGGATTTAGCTCAGTGGTTCTGCCACCTGCCTCACAAGCACAAGGACCCAAGTTCGATCCCCAGTACCAAAAAAAAAAACCAACAAAAAAAAAAAATCTCAGCTCTGTGGCCTTCAAGCCTTTTCTTGCACACCTCCAGTGACAGGGAGTTCACTACCTCACAAGGCAACCAAGTCCATGATAGAGCCTTGACTGATCACCAGCTTTTCCATAACTGGAGCTAAGGTTCTCCAGCTGTTTTTCCCACTGGTCCTAGTTCTCCCATTTAGGGCCACAAGAAATTAAGAGTCCTCATCTCCAGAGCAAGCTGTCAAATATGTGAAGATGATGTGCATGGAACCCTCTCTTATCTAGGTCTTGGAATGGTCGTCTCACCATTCCGTGCATTTAATCTCCCAAGCAGGGGGTTGCTCTTGGAAAGCAGCCAGAGCAGAGCTCTGAAGGCAGCTTCAGAGCTGAAGCCCAGAAGGAGAGAAGGAGCCAGGATCCAAAAGGTGGAAGAAACTTGGTCCAGAGACCAGTACGTGCAAAGGTCCTGGAGCAAAAACTCAGCCACTCAAGGACAAAGCTCAGCGAGGGTGGCATAAGTGAAGGGGATTGGCTGCTGTGCAGGCCAGAAGGCCACCTGAGGGTTACATTCTCAGTGCAGGGACTTCAGGCTGGTGGGGGGGTATCTAGATTGATGGGGCTTCCAGCTGCTGCAGGAGGAGGCTGTGGCCCAGCGATTCATAGTAGCCCCCGGGAAGAAGGTTACCTCGATGCTCCTGGGAACTTCCCTGGCTTCGAGTCACAGGCTGGGCAGACACCACCGTCTCACACTTGCAGGCCAGGTGGTCTTCCAAGGTCACTGTGGCCTTCTTAAAGGCTGGCTTCCCCCGCACAATCTCTATCTTCCTTACCTGAAGGACAGGACACAAAACCTCTCTGTAGAGCCGCACACAGCCCACCACCTGCTCTCCCCACCAGGCCTGCGCAGAGCTTTCCTCGAAAGCCCAGAGTGGACCTGCTCTCCACTGCTGAGGTCCAAACAATAGCAGGGCCTTGCCCTCTGCCCTCTCGGAGCTTTTCCATCAAAACAAGCCCTCCAACCTGGCCTGTGCTTTGCCGCGGCCCCGGGCCCCCAGAGAGTGAGAAAGGCATTTCCGGGTTGTGCGTGGGGCCTGCTGTGTCCTCATTCCTGGAACGCCTGGCCTGCCGTGGCCAAGGCCAGGGGCTGCACCAGAAGCCAATGGCTGTCTGGAAGGAAGTGGGGGAAGGCTTTATCCAGGAGGGAGGCAGGAAAGGGAGGTCAGGTGTCCATCCATGGGGCTGGAAGCCTTGGGCACAGGAGATACCGTGACAGTGGGTGGCCGGCTGGAGAGTAGAATTTATAGTTTCAAGCCCAGGGCTCAGGCCAGGGTTGGAAAGTGGGAAGAGTGCAAGGCACAGGCAACAGATTTGGCAGGGCCAGCGCTGAAACCCAAGCGCGGCCCCCAGCACTGTGAGCAACCCACATGGGCACAGCGGCCCCAGGGTGCAGAAAGCCGTCCACGTGATCAGAAGACACACCCAGCCTGGCGTGTGCGTGGCGCCCTCTGGCACAGACAGCCGTGGGACCAATGTCCATGTGCCCACTTCCTCCAGAAAACAGGCCACACAGCGCTGACCACTTGCTGGGGTGGGGGTGGGACAGTCTCTGCTCCCACAGTGCCATCACCTGGAGAGTCCTTGATGAAGGCGGCAGTGTGCAGACCCCTGCCTGGGTCTTTCTCTGAGAGCCCCAGATATCGGGGAGCTGCAAGGGAGCTTCCCAGGGCACCTGAGGTGTCACGTACTGGCAGCCTCTGCAAGGGGGGGCCATGGGATTTCACCACTGGAAAAGCATGGCAGTACCCGCACCCCACCCGAGGTGGAAAAGCTGCCTGTGCTATTTGGTGACCGCAACCTGGGCCACCTTGGAGGACGAACGGTGCAGAGCCCAGGGACACCCCAAGACAACCCACACCGACACTGAAGCCGGAGGGGGGCACACACCTGCACCGGCCGCAGCTGCACCTGTGTGGGCCGGCACTGCACGTTGCGGTTGTTGCAGCAGCCAGAGCAGCGCTGCACCTCCACGCAGGGTGGCCACACCAGAAAGTTGGCATTGGAGCGGTCGATGAGGTTCCGGGAGATCTGGAACACCTCCGTGCGTGTCTTGCACTCAGCAATCATGGCCGGCTCGGCCACTGTCAGGGAACCTGCAGGAGGAGGATCTGGTCAGGAGCTCCAGGATACAGAGCTCTGCTCACCGCCCCCACCCTCCCACAGCAAGCGCTCCTCCTCCTCTTCTGGGGTTCCTATCACTTGGGTACAGAGAAACGGAGGCCTGGAGAGCTCCCTTAACCCACCAAGGCACAGAGAGCGGAAGAGGTAAGGGACTGACTCCCTCCTGTAGGCCCCCCAGCCACGCCCACAGGGTTTCAGAGACTCTGGCTGGGCAAAAAGGAGCCGGTCACAGTGTGTGCACCTGCCTGCCCCCGGGAGAGCTTCTCCGGTGCCTAATGATCTACGGGCTCCCTGGCTCTACCAGTTTTAAGCTATGTGACCTCACCTACTTCTGTACCCTCTCTGGGCTCTTGTTCACAGCTCTGTGAAACTCACTTGATATTCACCTCCAGCGGCACAGTGAAAAATCAAATGAGGAGAAAAGCTTTTTCAGAGAACGTGATGTGAGCACAGGTGGTGTAGTGACTCCTGCCAAAGCTGGTCAGGGGAGGGAGTCTGGGGATGTCTTGAAGTCACATCCCCCTTTCTCCCGTGGCTCCTGGACTTTAAAGGACCTAGAATGGGGCCCTGGGTCTTACCCAGGCTCCTCCTCCCACGAGATGAGCCTTCAGCTTCACGTCCTGAGTGGGCCCGGGTCACATTCAGGTCCAGTTCAACCCTGTCCTCATCTGCAAGAGAAAGCACCAGATGCTACTCTGCAGGGCTGGTTAATGACCATGTATGGGGCTCCCATGGGGTTCCACGCAGCACGGGAACCCCAGAGAACAGCCCCTCCGTATTCCAGGCTCCTGGCCCTGAGGAGGGCCATCTAGGAAACCTGGGGCGGCCTTGCTTGGGAGTGGTGGGGCCTGGCTGCATCTTTGGGGCACCCCCACCCCACTCTGGGTTCTTCAGCCACATTTTTGGCTAGAACCCATATGCATGGAGTTAAAAATAACCCTTCCCCTTTGCTACTGTAAGTGAACCCTCCTCGGCCTCCAGGGTGGGGCAAGGCCCCTGCACTGCAGCAGGCCGGTTCCCAGTGCCACTCCGCCCAGCGTTCCCATAGGAAGTGCTGAATGGAGAAATTCCCAGAATCCCCGGGGGGCCAGCAGGCCCTGCTCACAGCCCCTCCGGAGCCGGACAATGGCCTTGCAGGCCTGGGGAGAGAGAGGGCGGAGGGGACGGGGGTGGTGGAAGCTGAAGGCAGAGAAGAGGCTGGTGAGCTGTGCCACGTGCCCTGCTAGTCCTGCTAGTCCAGGTTGCATCCTGGTTCTCAGCCTCCATCTCCCCCTTCTTTAAGCTCTCCAGGCTGGACAGCTCTGACCTCAGAGCTGCTCGGGGACACCTCCTTGGGGACATGGTCCCCCTCTAGAGATCGTGCCTGGAGCTGCCTACTGGGAAGCAAGGCTGGGGAGGAGGATTTGAGCTAAAGCTTGAAGGCGGACACAGTCCCTTCTGTCTCTCTCATATCGGCAAAGCCAAATAAGGGGTTCGGGGGACAAGCCCCAGCCACCTACCCTGTCACTACAGCTCACACCCAGCCCACGTCATTGTCAAAGACAAAGGCCCCTGCAGGCTGCTGTCCATTGTCCAGGATCCCAGGGGATCCTGTTTATAGGAGACCATCCTGCGGTATAGCCTGTGACTGGTCCACTTCCGCTGGACGGCTCCCACGTCATCGTGTCTGTCTGTCCCTCTAGCTCCCTTTCTTTTTCCCTGCCATCTCTGGAATGTCCCTGGTGGGGAGGAGATGGGGAAAAGATGGGCTTTGTGGAAAGGTTAAGTTGATTAGGAAAAAATAGCTACATGGCTGCCTCAAAACAGGCCAGCTATTGAAAAACCCCATGTCCAAGATCCCAACCCCCACCAGGGGTGTGGAGGGGCCGGCTGGGGGGGGCAGGGCCTTGGAAAGAAATGGCAGAAAGGCTAAATTTGGAAATTGCCCCATTGTGTGGCCAGGGTTGGCCACTTGGGCACTGGGCAGGGGGTGCTGGGAGACGTGGGGTGGGGGCCTTGGTAGACAATAGGTGAGCCCAGCTGGGGCCCCTCCTGCCTGCCTCACTGCCCCCAGGCAGGCAGGATTGAAAGGGCCCGGGAATGCTTTTGAGAGGGAGCCAGGGGCCCAACAGGGAGAGGAGACAAAGGCAGGAAATGCTGTTCCCCCGTAGATAGCGTCTGGGCAAGGATTACAAAGTGACAAAGAGACAGAACCCCAGAGGGAAGGGGACCCGGGGGTGCAGGGAGGTGCTGACCAGGGCTCCAGGGACCAGGCCAGAGGTTAGAATAGAATGGAATTTGCTCTGAAGACAGCGTTTATAAATACATTCCCAGCCCAGCCCGCCAGCCCTGCCACGTGTGTGCCACCAAGCACGTGCCCACTCTGAGCTTGCTCTTGGGCACAGGCAGGGCTGAGGGCTGGTCCAGCCCAGGTGTCCCCAAGAGACCTCACAGACTGGGCCCTGGGCCAGAGGGGCAGGGAGATGGCTCCTCAAGCACCACCCTCCTGGCTGTGCCCACACCTGGATAGACACTCGGCACATGCCCTGGGCACCTTCTCCCTGCCTGCCCTACTCCAGCACCCCACCCTCTGTACCATGCCGGAGCCACACACGGGTACTTCTCCTGCCACACCCCATGTCTCAAGTTCCGGCTCATCTGCCTCCTGTGCCCTCCCTGGGTGGGTGTAGTCAGCCCTCTCTGGGGTGCAGGGGGTAACCATGGGCCCCTAGCTCTCCAGATGTCCATGGAAGAGTGGCCTTGCCCTGCCCACTCCCAGGTCCCCTAAGACCCAGGGAGGCCAGAGTGCTGGAAGATGCGATTTACCTACGGAGTCTCCGTGCAGCAGGCGCTGGAGGTCATCGAAGGAGCGGATGGACTGGTCACTCAGCATCTCATAGAGTTCCTCAGGAATGGGGTCCCCCTGCCAGGCAGACAGCAGAGGGCTGAATGAGCTGGCAAGGGGGGCTCTCTCCCCAGCCACTGACTTTCTCCATGGAAACTTCCTTTGGGGCCCTTCAGGCTGGGGCAAGCAGGATCTAGGCTGACAGCCACGTGGAGCCTGGGGATTTGAACCTCCAATACCTGGCTCTGAAACTACCCTGGCCCCACCCTCCAGACAGGAACCCAGCCTGCCACCAGCTAGACCTGCCTGTCTACATCATCTGCCCCATCAGACTACCAGTCTTAGGGAGGCTGCAACAACCCAATTTCTCTCTGCTTCTCCTGCCACATCTGATAGCTAAGGACAGCTGGTATATGTCACAGGAGATCTAATGATCCCCATTCTATAGATGGGAAGACAGAGGTTCAATCAGTGAATATCCTCTACTCAGAATCTCATGGCCTATTATTACAGAAGCTCACTGGATCGCTTCTTGGCCTTTTGGCTAAGACCAAGTGTAGTACAGAAGTTCACCGGAGCCCAAGCCTTTGTGACAAAAGAGCCTGCATGCCAACCTCCAGGAAACAAGGGGTGCATAACAATTCTTGCAAAGTCGTATGGTCTCAGAAGGCCACAGGCTCCAGCCATGCCTATTTTGACTCTTGCCAGAAAGAAAGGAGGGAATCCTCAAACCCAGCCAGGAAACCTGAAAGCTAACCCATGCCCAGGCAAACCCTATTTTTAGAGCCCCTCTGGCCTGTCACCAAACACACTTGAAATTTAATAAGCACTTTAATAGGCCTTACTGGGAGCCAGGCTTCCTCCAGGGAAACCACAGGTCCTACAATAACAGGTCCTGATAGAAGGTCCCTCCCGCAATCCCCGTGACCCTGAGAGATCCGAGGGCCTGGGGCCAACAGCCCCTAGAGGAAGAGGGCACAGGAGGCTGAGAGGCACAGTTCGGTGCACCAGCTGACACTGCCACACGCCCAAAGGCTTGGCCCTGACACAGTCACACACATGGAGGCAACACACACTGGGCCACATGGCCTGGGGAGGCTGGAGGGCACGAACACTGGGGCAAACTTCACCATGCCTCAGTTTCCCTGCATTGAGGAGGAAACCGTTCCCTCCTCTGCTTACTGAGCACCCCAGGACTGCAGTTCCAGAAGCTGAGCTGACTGCAGTGGCAGAGGGGTGCAGCTCTCACTGCCTGGGGTGGAGAGGGGCATCTCAGTACCCAGGGCTGTGTGGGGTGCGCCCACTGTGGGCTGGGAGCTGTAAGAGCCAGGGCCAGGGTGGACGAGAGCCCTTTGAACACTTTCTTGAAATTCCTCTCCACGGAGCTGAGAGCCCCTCTGGTGCCTCAGGGTTGCTGCAAGGCGGCAGGGAGAGAAGTTGGGGGCCAGGCTGAAGATCGGGCTCCTCCTTCAGCATCCCAGGCGGTACCACTGACTGGCAGGGATGTGCAGAGGAGGGATGCCAGGCCAGCCCCTCTTTTTCCTCCCACCCCACCCCACCCCAGAAGAGAGACCACGATTTTGGTGATCTCTGAGGGCTGACCAGGCACCCAACCCATGGGACAGAAGGCTGACAGCTGGCGTCCAGTGAAGACCAGGGAAGGTCACTGTCCTGAGACTTGTCAGACACAGAACTGGTGGTCCACAGAGCACTATTACCAACTGCTGTGTGACCTCAGGTTGGTCACTACCCCTTTCTGATCCTCACTCTCATTTGTTAATCAAGGGGGTTGAAATTGTTCATTTTGATTCTAACGTTGCCTAGGGGTGACAGTAGCAGCAGAAGACAAAGTGGAGGTGCCCAGCCCAGACTCCCTGGGTCACTCCCAGAAGGGGAACAAGGGGCGTTTGTGGAGTAATGATTCAAATGACTCCAGGGGTGGGGCCCAAAGGCCAAATGGCCCTTAGTGCTTGTGCCAAGATCTGCCTGCCCACTGGAGAACTGGCTGCGGCTGCCAGCTGGGGCAAAACAAACAGACAGACCTTAAGCAAGCTCAGTGGATGCCCCAGACCCAGGCCCACAATGGAGAGGAGACATGCTCCGGCCTTCGGAGGCTGAATGAGGAAAGCCCAGTTAGAGACTATGAGGGTGGAGAGTGCATACAGTAGGTGCTCAATAAACACAGATAAAATTAGTGCGGGACCCTATACCGTCATAATGGGGTCCTCTCCAGTATGATTCTCCCATCCCCACCACCAGGAGGATCACCTGGGGTGTTCTTCCCTGTGCTCAGGCTAATCCTCTCCTCGGGCCCATGGTGCTCTGAGCAGGGAGCCACTTCTACACCTGCTGCTGGTGACCAGGTCACTAGATGCTCAGCATTCACTCAGAGCCCCCTGGATTGGACAGTGATGCCACACACACACTCACCAGCCCCTGACCACAGCCAGGCACTGGCTGAGCAAAATGCAGTACATTCCTAAGAGCCTGGCACTACTTTTATTCCCATCTTCCAGATGAGAAAACTGAGGCTTCAAGGAATTAAATAAGGGGCAGAGGATTTAGCTCAGTGGTTCTACCACCTGCCTTGCAAGTACAAGGACCAGAGTTTGATCCCTGGTACCAAAAGAAAGAAAGAAAGAAAAGAAAAAAGAAATTAAATAAGTAGCCACAGGTCTGGAGGACCAGTAAGTGACACAGCTGGGTGCTTCCCAGACCCCAGAATGCACCCCTTTTCTGCACGGCATGGAGTGTTGCTCCTCCGTTCCAATTCCTCTGGCTCTGGGCACCCTTTACTCCCACAGTAAAGAGCAGTGGGAAGACACCGGCAGGCTCTGAAGACATTTTTGGAGGCCACAGCTAAGGGGGGCTACTGACACCTAACAACAGATGGTTGCTTAGCCACCCCCCTAGTGCCCAGAACCATCACTGGCCCCAAATATCAGTAGTGCAGGAGTTTGGAAACCCCATAGCAGAGGAGGGCAAGGACTTCAGATGCCAGGAGAACCCGGATCCTCAAGGCAGATTCTTTAATCATTGAAAATCTTGGCTTCTTGATCTTGAAAAAGGGGCTAAGAACGCCTCGAGAGGGTGATCGGGAGACATAACTCTGCATGCAGCAGAGAAACCAGCAGATAACAGGGGCTTTGTGAGTTGACACTGTCACCATTATTACTTCGTCCAGTGTGGCGCCTTTGAGTGCAGCAGCAAGTGGCACAGGTGCCCTGGGACATTTTCAAGGATGACAGTGGGTGGATGGAGAGCTGCTTGATCATGGGAGGGTGTGTGACTGCACTATTCCCTGGGCCAGGCCACCGGAAATGGCACCCTGGTCCCACTGACACCAGCTGGTCCTGTGTGGGTTGAAGGGTCCCTTCCGGGTGGGACTGGGGGCGGTGATGGGTGGGGGCAGCCAGCCTGTGGTCCACTCCAGGATGCAATGCCCTGGGGACCCTTGCAGAACACCTGTTTAGTTAGAAGCCCCACTGGGCGTAGGAGGGTGACAGCTCTGAGCCTGGGTTTCCTGGCCACAGGTTCTGGAGGCCTCTAGGTGGGCACCACAAAAAGGAAAAGAGACTTGGCACCCCAAAGAAGCTGCCCTAGATCTCAGGTCCAGGGCTCCTAGCAAGGCGAGGGTGCGGCAAGGAAGCAGTTGGGGCAAAGCCAGCCTTGGGAGCCAAGGCAAACAACCTGCTCCCCACCCCACCCCCAACAGCAGCTGCAGGAGGCAGGAAGGGCACGAGCAAGCGAGAAGCCAGGTGAGTTACCTGCTCCCGAGCAGGCTGGCAGATCAAAGGGGCTCGAACCCCACCCTCCACCTGGATCCCAGCACGCATAGGAGAACACGCACACTCACACTCCCCAGGAACTAGGGGCGGTGTCAGCAGCTGGCGGAAAGAGAAGCTGACAGAGCCTCCTAGCGCCTGCCTGCTTGCCTGTGACTCTCAGGCCTTATTTAGATCGGATGCCAAAGCCGAGCCCTTGAAGAAGCCCTCTTTGGATAGACCACAGAAGCCACTTCACTCGCACCAGCTTTTCCCACCAGCAGTTTCCTTCCTCTGGCTCCTGGGACTCTCCCTTCTGCTCAAGCCTGGCCTCCTCCAGCAGCCCAGCCCACCAACCTCCCCACCTCTTGCTGGAGCGGGGAAAAAAAATCAAAGCAGGAAGAGCTCAGAAGCAGTGCACAGTCCTGGCAGCTCATTGCAATCACTGACCCTGCTCCAACTCCAGAGCAGGTAACTGCTATGCAGGAAACTCTCAGCTGACCCAACCTGCACAGGTTTGTTGTAGGTGGCAGAAACTGAGGCTATCTAGAGAGAGACAGCCTGATTCTTTCTTCTGTGTCTTCCTCTCTGTCCTTTCCGATCCTGACAGCCCAGGTCCCAAGACAGGGAGGAGAAACATGCTGGCTTCATGATGGGGAGACCTTGGCAGACTGATACCTGATACCGGCAGGAGGGCAGTGTGCCGTGCCTGCTGCACTGGAGGGTGGGGATTTGGTGAGTCTGTGCTGATGAAGCACCTAGCTGGCCTGGGCCCCACCCATGCAAGCATTCACTGTCCTGGCCACACTATCCAATCTCCAGGCGCTGTGCTGGGGACCCAGAGCAAAGCACCCTAGCGCAGTTTACAGTCCCATGGAGGAAGACAGACAATAAATGGAATAAACCAGAAAGTGAAGAGTTGCCATACAAGGAACCCCCGGAAGAGGGGAAGGGAAGACTGAGGCCCTTACAGTAAACACCTTGAGTTAATCTCTCGTACACACTTCCTTGCTCTTGCAACAGAGCCTCCAAATTCTGTTTGACCTTGACCTTGCACACCTCCAGGACTGGGGGATTCCAGCAAGTTGATCTCCCCTCCCCTAAGGCCGTCAGCAAACCAGGAAGAAGCTGGGTGGTTAGAGGCTGTGGGGTCCCCACTCTGCTTCCCGGCAGAAGGGTGCTCAGGCAGTGGAACATCATATGACAGTGGGAGTCACCCCCCCCCAGCCAGCTCAGCTGATGGGGACAGGAGGACCTCTTAGGCCTCTGCAGACCCTCTCCTGATCCCGCCCCATAGCTCCCACCCTACTTCCCCAGCTGCTGAGGCCTCCACCAAAGATATGGGCAGCTCCAGGGCCACTCTGCACAGCAAACCCTCCCTGAGTCTCTCTATGCTGGCACCTAGGAGGTGGCCCTTCCATTGCTATGTAGGCCCCTTCCTCTGGGGCCACAGAAACTTGCGCAGGATTATTAAAAAAGCACTTTACAAACTGCAAAGCTGCAGGTACAATGGCCCGGCTCTGCAGGGGTGTGGTCAAGTCGGCTGGGACAAACGTGAGAAGAAAAGCTCAGTTTCAGCACTCTGGCCTCTACCCCAAATGCACACAGGAGGAGGGGTGGGAGAGGAGAGGTGCTGGGGGAATGATAAGGGGTGACCGGTCCTAAGCACCAGACATCAGCAAAGAAGAAAACAACCTGGAGTAGAAGCAACCTCAACACTGTGGCAGCATCCCTGCTGTCCCGGAGTTCACGTGAGGGCTTGTTGAAAGGAGAAATGCTCTGGACATTCCTGTGCCCTTCAGTGAACTACTCGCATTTTGGGCCAGGAGTGGTTGAAAAAAAGCAATTACAGAGTGGTAAGGTTTGAGGGGCCTGAAGCTGCTCTAACCAGGTAAAAAGAAAAAGAAGAAAAAAGAAAAAAAAAAAAAGACTGTTGTTGTGCTGGACCCCGGTAGGAGAGCCCTCTACCTTCCTAGGATCTCAGGAAGGAAATGGGGTCTCTACAGAGCCGGCAAGGTGCCAGGGCCCACCTGTTGCGCGGGGGCGAGCACCTGGCTGTGCGTGTATGGAGCCAAACGTGACCGTGTGCGTGCGTGGGTATGCGCGCACGTGTGCTCCAGTCGTGTGTGCAGAGGCCCTACGTGCGATCGCGTGCGGTGCGCGCGCGTGTGGCCCGCGTGTGC